GTAGGTACGTACGTAAACTAAACTAAGTACGACTACCGTACGACGTAGTACGTACCTACTAAGGTAAGGTACCGTACCTACCACTCCTCCCTCCCCTCCTCTCTCTCTCTCTCTCTCTCTCTCTCTCTCTCTCTCCACACTCTTAGGGTGGGATGCCACCCATAGGAGACCTAGGATGGCACGCCTCACCAAGTTCCACTGTGAGATGGGCACACCCAGCCCAATTGGTGTTTAGGGGTGGTGCCACATTTTGTGCCCCAAGATTAAAGGGTTGAAGAGAAAACCCGGAGTTCTTGAGGTCATGCCCTCACCTGGAGTTTTTGAGTTTGAGGGTACTGCCAAGGTGCTTACCATATCGGAGGACTCGAGCAGGATCTAAGGATCAGTGCACCATCGATTAAATAATTGGATGTGGGGTATTGTTGATACCTACGGAGGTAATCCAAGGCACAATTGAAGTAAGTCTTCCTAGTTCAACTCCCATTTTATTTTTCTGTTTATTACTTTGTTCTTGATTCACAATGTAATTATATGCAGTCTATGAATAAACTTTTTATTTTTAAGGCAATAAGAGTAAGATCATAGGTTGCAGTAGATTTTATCTTCTACCATCGCTATGCATTTGGCAATTGTAAGTAACATTACCAAAGTGAGGACCTTAAACTTTCCCTTAACCCATCCAAGCCCGGGGTAATGGAGGTGGGTTGTGTTAGGTAGGCAGCCACCGTAAAACTTTACCAAAACTTTTACCTACTCTGGCAACTAATTGAGAAATTTAGGGCGACGGGAAAAGACCTCCACATGATCTTTATTGATCTAGAAAAAGCTTATGATAGAGTACCTCGAGATTTAATTTGGTGGGAGTTGGAAAAGAAAAGAATCTCCAGATACCATATTGACTTGGTGAGAGACACATACAAGGGAGTGCTAACTAGCATGTGAACTAGTGGAGAGATGAGTGAGTCTTCAATAACAATAGGTCTACATCAAGTGTCAGCGTTCAACCGATTCCCATTTCTCTTAGTTATAGAGACTTAATAGGCACATAAATGAGGAGGTAACATGGTATATATTGTTCGTTAACGACATAGTTTCGATCGATGAGATCCAAAGCAGCGTCAATACAAAGTTAGAACTTTGAGGGATGCTCTAGAATCGAAAATTTTTAAAATTAGCCGGACTAAGGTAGAGTTTATGGAAAGCAAATTTAGTAATAATAGAAGTAGAGACGACAAAGTAGTTACGATTCAAGGCCAAAAAATACTAAAAAGAGCACACTTTCGATATCTTGGGTCAATAATCCAAGAAAATATATAGATTGAGGAAGATGTCACACATATAATTAGAGCTAGATGGGCGAAGTGGAGATGCGCAACCAGAGTTTAATGTAATTGCCGCATACAAATGAAACTGAAGGGGAAATTCTATAAAACACTTGAACCATTGCCTTATGGGGCAGAATGTTGGGCGGCCAAGAAACAACATACCCATAGGATGAGTATAACTGAGATGAGGATGTTGAGATGGATGGGTGGCAAAGCAAGAAAGTATGGAATTCAAAATAAATACATCTGGAAGAACTTTGGTGCGACTCCAATAGGTGATAAGATGAGAGAAAGTAGACTTAGGTGGGCTGGGCATGTGCAGCATAGACCCAATACTACACATATTAGAAGGTGCGAGTTAGTTCCAGTAGAAGGCTCAAAAAGAGCAAGGGATACGCCCAAAAGAACATGGTTGGAAGTAGTAAGAAACGATATGGGGACTTATTGCCTCACTAAGGCTATGGGCTCTTGATAGAGCAGAATGGCGGATTAGGATTCATGTAGTCGACCCTATAAAATTGGGAAAAGGCTCTGACGAAGTAGAATTACCTAGTTGTTAATAATAGGAAAAAAAAAAAGATAGAGAGAGAGAGAGAGAAATTTTTAAATTTAAACCCCAAGAATCCTACATAACAACATCTTTCAAAAATACCCAAGATGGCATGTGTCTTTGTGTGTGTATCTAGATATGAAATTGTATATAATAAGACCATCTACCATCGGTATAGCGGTGTCACAATCATCCCTAGTCATCAAATGTGAAATCTAACAACTTAGTGTGAATAAAAAAGTTCGATAAATATTTTTTGGGACTTTGATCCCAATAATAGACAGCTCAGCTGCCGGATTTTCAAGAGTGATTGTGACTGCCTTGCCAAAAGTAAATAGTTATATTGTATATTTTATATAATACACACACGCACACACACGAGTGCGCACACACACACACATATCCCAAGACAGGTATTGGTTAATTTCCACAATTTGCAGCATTATAGGCTGCTTGGAATTCTTGCTTAATGCCTTTCAACACCAAAGAAGAAAATCAGCATGTCAAACCTGCCTCTATTCAATCCGAAATATAATGAGGCAAGTTTCACTTCACAACCTCAAGATTATGGCTAAAGCAACATCTAATTGGGTATCTCCCAATCAGAAGGAACAACCATGAGCCCTAATAGATCTGTAAATTGCACGCTGCCCTTTAGAGACCCACATATACACCAAGACAAATCAGCATCATCACCCCATTGTCCTTGAAGGTATTGTATTGATTACTCCTTATCTCATACTCAAATCTGAAAAAAAAAATTCAGCCTCCGTAACAGTGAAACTACAAATATTCCATAAAACAGAATAAAGTTGAACGAGATGCCCAATGAAAAAATAGTCATCTCCATCCCTAGCCTTGAAAAGGTGGAAGCCTAAAGAACAAAGCTTTAAAGCCCAACCAGCATAATGTTGCAGCTCGCATGCAATGAAAATTAAACCGTATCCCATTCTAAACATAGAAATTGGTGCGAGAGATTCATTGCAACAAAGTCTAACCCAGCTCAAAAGTACATCCTTCACATTTTATGTCAATATCATTAGCTCATTATTAAGAAACAGTGATTTCTAGTTTTCAAGGATTCTCCGTTAATCAATATCTCAACAAGGCCTATTTCTCAACTTCTAGAACATTTGAAACTATAAGTTACTGGCCATTAGTTGATGTTCCAATTAACCATGGTCCACTAATAGTTGATGGATACCTAAACATGCCATGTCATAGCGCAAAACATTATATTTTAGTCACATACTCACATTCTACTTTTTATAGCTATGCGATTTTACACTTACCAATATCCTAGAAGCATCCAGCACAAGTATCAGTGCCAAAATGAAACGACACCAGCACATTCAGGATATACAACTATTTGAGCAGCACAATTTGATATAAAAATTGTTATAAACTATGTGCAGCATGGACTTTCTCTAATATACGAAATCTGAGAACAAAGTTAATGCTATGAGAAATGAGAAGGCTAATTATATTAAGAAAGTGGATAAAAACCATGAAGAATCTAGATAGAAAAGACATTCAGAAAAGGAATTTGGTGGTGGAGTGATGAGGTTCAAAAGGCCATTAGAGAAAAATATTCATGTTACAAAGCTGGGCAATGGAATGGAACTGGAATGGAAATGATCAAAGCCTAGAAAAATATACAAATGCCAAGAAGAACACTAAGAAAATAGTAAGGGTAAGCTTAAAGTACATGATGATCTATAGAACAAATTAGGGACAAGAGAAAGCAAAAAAAATGTCTTCCAACTACCAAAAATGACAAAGAGGAAGTGTAGAAATCTAGATCATATTAAATGCATAACAAATGAGAATCAAAAGGGTCTTGGTGATGGATAACGAGGTCAATGAAAGGTAGAGAATTATTTTAAAAATTGTTAAATGACGACCAATCTGGGAGCACCTTAGGATATCTCCTTTGACATAAATAAGATCGAAAATCATAGATACATTTATGCGATTAAGATACCTGAAGTGAAGGAAGCTTGAGTTGAGAAAGATGAATATAGGGAAAGCTTTAGGACTAGATGGCATAATAATAGAGGTTTGGAAGTGCATGGGAGATATTGGCATATTCTGGTAGACCCGGCTATTCAACAAGATTTTGAGAATAAAGAAAATGACGACGGATGGAAAAAGAGTATTGAAGTACCTATTTACAAGAACACAAGAGATAGAGTTGTACGAACTATCGAGGGATCGAACGTCTGAGCCACACGATGAAGCTGTCAGAGAGAGCAATTGAGCAATGACAACAACATGAAATGAGTCTATCAAAAAAGAAGTTCGGTTTTATACCAGGAAGGTCAACCGTTGAGGCTATTTTCCTACTAAGACAATTGATTGAGAAGTTTAGGGAGAAGAGAAAAAATCTCCACTTGGTCTTTATTGATTTAGAGAAAGCATACAATAGGGTAACTAGAGTTAATTTGGTAGGTGTTGGAAAAGAAAATGTCTCTAAAAGATATATTAATATGGTGAGGGATATGAACGAGGGAGCACTAATTAATGTGAGGACAGCTAATGGAGAGATAGCGGAGTTGTTAGTGACACTAAGCCTACATTATGGGTCAACATTGAGCCATATCTCTTTACATCGGTGACGACTTAACCAGCCCTTGAGGTATCATGTTGTATGTTGTTTGCAAATGACATAGCTTTGATTAATGAGACTAGAGACAGCATCAACACAAAGAACATTGGAGGGATGCTCTTAAATCTAAAGGTTTTAGAAGTAGCCGAATTAAGATGAAATATATGGAATGCAATTTTAGTAATAATAGGAGTAAAAACGAGGAATTAGTTAAGATTCATGCCCAAGAAGTACCTCAAACATATTATTTTCGATATCTTGAGTCAATAATCTATGAGTAATAGAAAAATTGATGAAGATGTCATGCACAGAACTAAAGCTGAGTGGACAAAGTGGAGATGTGCATGTGGAGTCTTATGTGAGAGTGTCACATACCAATGAAACTGAGGGGAAGTTCTATATGGCGGTCGTAAGACAAGCCATGCTTTATGGGACAGAATATTGGATTGTCAAGAAACAACATATCCATAGAATGAGTGTAGATAAGACAAGAATGTTGAGATGGATGAATGACAAGACAAGAAAGGATAGAATTGGAAACGAATACATCCAAAGGAACTTAGGGGTAGCTCCAATAGGCGATAAGATGAAGGAAAATAGACTATCATGATTTGGCAGTGCAAAGTCTAGCTAGAACAACAACAGTTGGAAGAGGTGATTTTGTTCAAGTGAGAGGCTCTTAAAGGGCAAAGGAAAGGCCCCACAAATATGGATGGAAGTAGTGAGAAGAGATATGGTGACTTACGATCAGATTGAGGGTACGGCGGAATAGCAAAACAGGTTTCAAATAGCCGATCCCAAATAGTTGGGATAAGGCTCGGATGATGATGATATGAAGAAATCAGGTGGCAACACAACTAAAGCATATTTTTTGTCTTCTTTTACTTGAGAGTGGTCCAACAAAGTTATAGAAACAATAGAGTTTTTTGGAATTTCGAATTAACTTTAAGGGCATGCATGGTTTCATGAATTTATCATAAAATATCATTTATTCATCAATGCCTCTCCAAAAAACAAAAAACAAAAAAACAAAAACAAAAAAAACACACACGAATTCATAAATTTATCATGAATATCATATGATTGACTCATCCGAGTCATTCCTATGCATCAAGAACATGCCTTCAGCACACCGTAAGGTAAAAAAAACTCACATGACGAAGAGGTAACGATACACCAGCAGGCAATAAGTCCAGCTGCTGAGATCCAAATCCTTCAGCAACCATTGCCAAGACAGTAAGTTCTTCTGGACTATGAGCCGATCCACTAGAAACATTGCAATATACACCAGAGCCAAGCTTCCTGCCTGTTCTTCCAGTTCCAAGGAGGAGACTGTAGAAAGAAACTATTTTCCGCAGCCAGCTTATGGCAACACTACCATCTCTATAAACTAGAGGTGGAAGGTCATCTTTATTACCAGAATCGCAACCATGTTTCAAACAGCTTTCCAACCATCTGAATACACTGGGAGGAGTCTGAGGAGAAGCTAATGAATTAGAACTTCGAGCATTCGATAAGAGACTTGGGAAGTCACGAACATAGTGATCAACATAGTTTGACTCTCCAAGTGAAGCAGCTATATTCCTCAACAGAACAACTAGTAGCTCTAAATCCCTACAAGCACATTCGACAATATCTGAGACACATAAGTAGAATGGTAGATAAGGATTTATTGTTAACTAGAAAGGAACCAGCATCACATTTAGAAGAATTAAAGGAAGAACATTCACCACATTCAACAAAACAAGGCACGAAACTCCTTTTAGAAAGACCAAATATCGACAAACATGAGATAAGACGATTCGAAAGAGAGACCGTTTTCTCGAGATACAAGATAGTATCAGTACCAAGGCTCATAACAAAGTATACGGGAAGATAAATGTTTACTGAAGTATATCACTCATGCATAGGGGATCTAAAAGCATAGGAAATGAAAGTGTCTTAAGGCAGCAAAAAGAAAAATATAAATGAAAAAGAGAAAAGAAATAGAAAAATAATCAGCATGAACTACCTTGACTTCTTCCATGAAGACTCAAAAACAATCTTTGTATTGATATTATTCATAATAACTTGAAAGAAGCACGTATCTAGAAAGTGCATAAGAAAATTCTCAAAACTAAAGAGTAATATTTGTTCTCTTAAATGAGGGCAGAACCAATCTCCAAGACACAAATACCATGTACACACCATTTTCTAAGATTATCAAGTTTGTAATTCTCGTAGACAGCATGCAACGAATCCAATGTCTCTGTGAGAATTTGTGCATAAAATGCTTTTTCTCGACTTTGTTCGGCTGTGCTGTTACCCATGGGGCAATGGGACTCCATTTGTTTATGACCCCATGCTACAGGAATCCCAGTAATAAAATTGCTCCTACAATAATTCAAGTGATACTTGCTATTCAGAAGGAACTCCCAAGAGGAGGGGCGAGTCGTATCAGATTGACTTTGAGGAAAAAAATCCAACTGTTTACACATCCCCAATATAACACTGACAAGTGATTCCCACTCTGAATCAGTAGAAGATTCAGCACTAGACAAACAAGAAGAACCACCATTTCCCCATAGCATAACAACAAAATGATGGTAGAAAGATGGATGAAGGCCTTCCGCCAAAGCAGTAATGCAGTCATTTGCTAGAGAAGACATAGGATAATTCCGCAAAGAACACCGGAACATCTGTAAAAGAAGAAAATTATGTTAATATTATGTTTAACCAAGCAACAACCTTAAAGCAGCCGTTTGGAAATATCTATAACATACAAATATATTACAAACCAATTGAGGCGCATCTGACCAGAGGTTTTGCACAAATTTCCTAAAATACATCCATTATGATTGCCCTTGGGAATATGCATGTCATTAAAAACATCACAGCTAATTATGTTACTGTACTGGTAAAATTCAGATGGATATTGCATAGGAAGAATAAGAATTTGCATGAGAGATCATCAAGAAGAACCATAAGCTATGAAGAATCAACAGATTCAAATCACAGCATGATAGCAATGTATGTAAGCCAAAGAGGCAAAGAGAACACAGACAGAACAAATTTTATAAGATGGAAAGAACATGCCATGTTTTACGCTTATACTCTCTGCTATAAAAGCTTCTTCCATTGCAATACAATGAGTCCCAATGTTCTAGAAACAACCTGACAAGAGATGGAGAGGGTTCACATGAAATAAAGGGAAACTTATCAAATTACCCAAAAGATATTAACATTTTAACACTTTCCCCGTGTTTTTTTATTTAATTTCAAATTTACCCATAAAAAACAAAATGATCGTGAGTTCGAATAATTACAAATGGACAAAATGTTAAATAATTCAACTCTAATAGGTAATTTGATAAATATCCCTAAATTAAATAATACCTAACAACATCCAGCTATAGCTCCAAAATTCCAAAATCTATGTAATATAGAAAATTATATCACCATCTCAGAGTTTTTTTCTTTCCAGGTTTGATGCAAGAGGTGGTTTTTCCAGCCTTTTTATAGAGATGGCATGTAACATGATTGATGAACATATTAGTTAAGCAAGAAGCCATTACGCTAGAGTCTTTTGTAGGGTGGTTAGTAATGGATGACATCATTATTTGAGAAAATCTGCATAACCTTCCATGCATACAAATCGAGCCACCCTTAAACCACGTAACGGGCTATCAAGCACAGTATCCATGTGCTATGGAGCTCATCATCTCAACCCTTAGGTTCAGGCCCAACTCCCAACATACCTCAAATCCCATGAGCTATCCCGGCCCCACAAAAAAAAATAATTTTAAAACCACTATATAATTTCCATGATAGAAAGAACTGCATAAGAAAAGATAGGCTTATTTCCAGGAACTAACAAAACAGAAATTTTTATTCAGAACCAATAAAAATATTGTCATACCTGACCACCACTGATGATTATATTAATTCGCCCCCCAACTGCATCACCTAACCCGGTAATTTTAAATTCACGAACAACATCCGATGGAAGAGGCTTCACATCGTGAGAGACCCTGCCAATCCCAGTTGGCAATAAATACTTGCAAAGGCATTGACGTCCGGACTGCACAATTATTTATAAATGGATTATGAACCATCCCCCACATTAAGTATAATACATCAACAACCCAATGGATCCAAGTGCAGGAAACTTCTTAAAATGATACTTAACTACTTAATGAGCTTCTATGGCAGTGCAACACACAATATAATAATTTATTTGGAGATCATTTTTTGAAGTAAAAATCACATATACATCACAAATCACATGTGGCCTTATTGGAGCTATATCGTACTCCAACAAAGCTCAGAATAATTTTGCAAGAGATAAAGAGTATGCAGCATCCAACATAAATTTGACAAATTAAAATAGGTAATGAAAACAAATATATTTAAAGTTTTCGGGTCAAAGGCAACCGTTATGGATAACTGTTGGTATCTCAAGCAAACTAACTAAAATAAAACAGTATTTCTCATTTCCAATGTCTGCAAACTCAAACTCACCCAAGGACTCACTTGAGTCCTGGAGCGAGGCGACTTGGCAGTCCCAAATGGACTCGACTCCTATCCAAGCAAGGTGAGTTGCTGATTAGAACACTGAAAAGAGGGAAAATTAACAAAAGTGCAAAAAAATAAATAAATTCAAAAAAATGAAAATTCATGTAACCTACATGGAAAAAAAAATTTCTGAAGGCATAATATTAATTCCTGATGGCAAATTTTAACATTCAGTGATCATAATTCCTATTCAAATGAGCCCCATGAATTTCAAAGTTCCCACTTCACATTAAAGAGTAAAGACTCATGTTAATCATATGCAACAAGTCAAAAACCACAGACACACACTGCTGTAGTCAAAACACTCATGGTCACAAAGAGAATTAGAGAAGCACAAAAATAAAAACGACACTGCAACAGAAAACTATATCAGTCTACACTCTACAGCCGATATGAACATTGCGGAGGGTCATAACAACCCTGGTGACAAGGGACGGCCGCCCAAACAATGTTCAAAAAGGCGTAGGCGGCCGCCTACGCGGACACCCAGACTCAAAGGCGGTATGTGTTGTTTTTTTTTTTTAAGTTGGATCCCCCACACGTCCCCCCATTTTATTGTATATATTATATAATAATAATTACAAATTAATACTATGTTTTTGGTTTACCAATAAATAAATGCAAAAAGTATTTTTGATTAATTAATAATTACGAATTAATATTATTTTTTGGTTTACCAATAAATTAATAATTATTATTACATACAAATAGGCTTTTTGATAAATTAATATTTACAAATTAATACTAATTTTTTGGTTCACCAATAAATTAATAATTACTATCACATGTAAAAAGCATTTTCGATAAACTTTAATAATTATAAATTAATATTATTTTTTGGTTTACCAATAAAATTATTGTTACACGCAAAAAGTATTTTTGATAAATTAATAATTACGAATTAATACTATTTTTTTATTTACCAATAAATTAATAATTACTATCACATGTAAAAAAAACATTTTTGATCAACTAATAATTACGAATTAATATTATTTTTTGGTTCACTGATAAATTAATAATTATTGTTACATGCAAAAAGCATTTTCAATAAATTAATAATTACGAATTAATATTATTTTTTGGTTTACCAATAAATTAATAATTACCATCACATGCAAAAAGTATTTTCAATAAATTAATAATTACAAATTAATAATCACCCACAGGTCTCCAAGATAAAAGGTCAAGATTAAATCTCATAATGATAGCAAAACCCGAGCTTTTATTTTATATAAACTAGCTATTGGAAAGGGGGGGGAGGGGGTGCTCATTCTCTTAACACTAGATATCTCAATCTCTCTCTCTTTGAGCCTGGGGGGGAACGCCCCTCTCTAATCTCTCTATTTCTCTGTCTAAATTAGGGTAGGAAGCATAAGAAACCCTAAGGGGTGGGGGACTGGCACGCCCAAGCCACAACACCCTAGCCGTCTAGTTTGTCCATATGCTCATGTGTTGAGCTTGGTCAAGGTTATCCCATGTCATGCTCACGTAAGGCCTTTAAATGGCCACAAAACCAGAACAAAAAAAAATTGAAGCTCAGATTTTTGGGGGAAAGCCACATTAGTACAATGTTAAAGTAAAATATAACAAGATCAAGTGATATCAACCCCAAAAAAAAAAATCATTAGTCGGAATTTGAATTAGAGGGGATAACTCGCCAGGCCGCCAAGCCCGAGGGACTTGGGCGATTAAAGTTGGATTCATGAGTTATCCAATACTGCTCATTTTTCTAATTGAATAAATGAGGAAAAAAGAATTGACGAATATGACATTGACAATACATATACAAGTGATTAAAAAAAAAGATGAACTAACATAATCCATGAAGTCAATAGAAATAGAAAGGTTAGCATAGCCAGAAATGGTCGGGTCCAACTCCAAAACCAAATTGGAAAAAATTGTTTCCCCAACTATTTTGGACAAAATATTGCAGTTTCTACCAGGCCACAAACAATACAGCTGATTTGACAACCAGTCAGACAACTAAAAAACCGAACCAGACCCTTGTCCGGTTTGATGTCTGGTCTAGTTCTATAACACTAACACAGATATTAGAATAGACAGAGAATATGATGTTCCACTAAACGCAACACCATAATTAAAAACATTCTAAAAATATTTCTAAAAGGTTCTCAATAATGGCAAATGGAGTTTTTTGGAACATCACAACAATGAGTCAAAGAAAATATATGCCATTATCAATAAGATTTAGTCCCCCTACACTTGGGTCAAAAACAAGTCAGATCTTTGACAAAAAACCGCACTACACATAACTTACATAAAGGAGAAGGTTATTTTCAGTAGACAAGACAAGCACGTCAGAAAGCTGAAGCCATCCATCCTTGATCCTGTAATTATATGACAACCAAACGGGAGAGAAAATAATGATGCGCCAAAAGTGACAACAAAAACACAAATACAAGTAGTAAACATAATGGGAGAGAAAATAATGATGCACTACCTCGGGCGCGTCACAACTACAGGCAAGGCTGCAATTGCAGGAATGGTCCAGTTCATATCAGGCTTCATGTCATAAAGAATTTCTTTATGCCTCGCACCAGTTTGAAGCCTAATGAAGAAAAGCCCTTTTTGTTCTTGGAACACAAAACAAATAAGTGGCACTTCATCAACATCAGTAGCCAAGAAAACCTGACAAATAGATCCACATCGAAAAATATAAGAAATAGTAACGGAACAATAAATTTGCAAAAAAAAAAATTGAAGAAGCAATAAAGTTGGATTTTTTAACACAAGATCAATCAACTCAGGGACTTGACATGGAAACCCAGCAAGTCACTTGATAAACCACGAAGCTCGCCCGAGTCAATCCATTATGTTCTCAATAGACTCAGCCATGTCAAGTTGATATGACTTGGCTCGAGACCAGACAAATCCAAACAAACTCGGTGTTTAATAATTAATTTGAAAAGTCAGAAACTGTACTGCCAATGATTGTATAGACTTTAGAATTAAGTTCTATACAAGTGGATCAAAGACATAAATATTTATCACAGTTTATCAGGACAAGCTGAAAAAATCCATAATGTCAGTCTCTCACATTCTACTCTATTTATAGACAGGCTACAAGTTAATCACATCCAACAACACAAATACATCAATATGGTAATTACCCGTTTATCAGTCATCAACAAGAATGGAAGCAAAGCGTTCAGTGTGTGAATTACTTTCTATACAATATCAGCATGTATAATATCGCATGTGAACCACTACCTTACTAGCCACTGGCTGGGCAGACCTTCCCTGCCAGATCTTGTGTAAACAATATGCTTTTGATTGCTCTTCTACCACAAAATCTTTGACCAGGAGACTTGATGCAATGGTGACACTGGCATCAACAATATCAACACGCCACACAGAATGTTGCATCTTCCCTGCCGCATGAACTCATCAACACAAACCTTGAACAATTCAAAAGCGTAAAAAGAATCAATATACTGAAAGGAAAATAAAACAGACCCTTGTGATAAGTTGCAATTACAGGAATAGCATCACTAGTCCAAATTATGCTTTCTTCCAAATCATTCATTATGCATGATTTCCCTCTTTCTTCAACAAAAATTGCCTGCCAAGAGAATGAGATCAGCAACATTTGAGAATACATGAGCAGTGCCCCATAACCGCCAACTACTGAATGCATCAGAATGCCACTTGCAACTCAACATCAGAGGCTTGGGAGAAAAGGAAGATGTTAACTCATTGAAAAGAAATCTGTATTATTGCAAGTATAACAGTGACAGACAAGTATACAATTGAGAATGCTTATTAATCGTCATCATCATCCTCAAAGCCTTTTCCCAATTAATTGGGGTAAGCCACAAGAATCCTGGTCCGATCTTATATTCTAGATTCATGACAAGTTTTGGCAAAGTTTTATGTTGGCTGCCTATCTAACAAAACCTCCCGCTATAACTATGCTTGGGACGGGTTAACGGAAAGTGTAAGGTCCTCATCCTTCTTAGACCATGAGAATGCTTATTAATGATATTCAAAGAGACTCTGATTTCTAGGAAGTCCTCAAGTACAATAAAAGAGAACCAGCCTAATCAATTTACATTAGTGACAGTCACATACAGAAGGACACTATGTGCCAAGCTTCAATTCACTTTCCTGTTAAAGTTGACATCGATACAATAAAACCAGGTACCAGTATAGTATATTTGAAGATTCAAATAATAATTCAATGTACCATAAAAAGAGGATGGACTTAAGAATTAGACTTCAGTTGTTTCCACATTTCACCAACATACCAGATGTGATGCATGATTGCATTCTATGAGCAAGATCAAAATGCGAAAGAAGAAAATTGTGACCAAGGAAACATTAAAGCACAACTAGATAATTCTCTCGTTCAAAACGGAAAAGATAAATGTAGAAAATAATGAATAATTATGTCCCCTTTCTCTCACAAAATACAACTAGTTTTAGTAAAGTTTATTTTCCATTTTTCAAAATTATTTTATATAGCTTTTTCTTTTTCTTTTTCTTTCACAACAAGATCTCAAGATATCCACCACTATCTCTAACCTTCCACATTCTTAATATATAACCCTAATTACATTTTATTTCCCAATTTATTTAGCATTAGGAATTGACCAGGGCTTTTAATTATGAATATTGGCATGGAAGAGGAGAAAGAACGAAGGGGACAGGAGATGAGGGTGGGGTGAATTAGAGAGGGACCCAATAACAGACAATAAAGGGGCTAAGAGTGACTTAAAGAGGAAAATAAAGGTTTTGGAAAGAGGAAGAGAAATAGGAATAGGAAAGAAATCATAGGAAGAAAATATGTTCAGAAAAACACGGACATTTTTTAAAGAAGAGAAAATCAGGAATCTAAGATAAATCCAAAGAAAAGTATAAAGAAAGACGTACATTTTAGAGGGGAAAAATACAGAAAAGTATAAAGAAAGACGTACATATTAGAGGGAAAAAATACAAACCACCATCCAAACCTCCTGTTTAGGATAAGCAAGGTTAATGTTTTCTTTTGAGTACAGATAAAAGATATAGTTGAGCTTACAATATGACCTCAATCCACTCTTATCATTGAAGGTTATAAACATTTGAAGCTGTCTAGGAGTTTCTAGCCTTAAAATCCCTTGAGAGCATGTAAATATACTAATATAGTGAATTGTATACTTCAGTGGGAGTGTATGTTGACTTACTAAACCAAGGTTATGGGGTCTATGACCTGGGTCATGTTCAAAACTCATTTTCCCGTAAGCCTTCATGAGGGGCATCCCTTCTGGAGGTTAGAGATATGCCTAGAGGTTAGAGATACCCCTAGAATCAACGCTCCAAGAGCCAAGATTCATTAATATGCGGAATCGAGTTTCCGACATCAATGGAACCGAGTTTCTGACATATGTGGAACAAAGATATGTTGTTGTTTCGAATCGTGATTCTAACATATTTGGAATCAAGTTTTTGAAGTATATAGATCATAGATCCATGCCTGTTTGAGATCAAGATTTACAATAATATGGACAATAAAATGCGTTTGACGACCACTACTAGGAATCGAGATTTCATTTTTATGGATAAGGAAGTCACAAGCACATCTTGTGCGTCATCAACTTTACAAACGTATATTGAATGTCTCTTATTAGAAGGTTTCCCAAATTTTAAAGTGATTGTGTTGACTATTGAACTTACAGTCATTATATACAAAAGATAAGTATTTCTAAATTGTGATTTTGACTTCATTATTATAAAGACAAAATAGGATTATGTCTACGCCATGGTTTTACTTTTAATTATATGTGTTGTATTTACCAGTTATATTTTAAATTTAAAGTAAAGGCCATCCAGGATGGCACAAGTAAAATAATGAAATCTTGCAACCACTAGAAGCTTTTGAAGGAAGATTTCTACTCCAATTGAAGTGGAATCAATATTTAATCCTCACTAGAATCCAGTTTCGATATATTTGGGAACATCTACCCACAATTAATGGGTTCAAGTTTCTAAAGATGTGTTGGATTCCGAAATTAAGGAGTGGATTTTCCTTAGTTTCGATAAATGGTTTCTAAAGATGTGTTGAATCGAGATTCCGAAACAAAGGAATCGAGTTTCCTTGGTTTTGAAAAATGGTTTCTAAAGATGTGTCAAACCGAGATTATGAAATTAAGAAATGGAGTTTCCATGGTTTCAAAAAACGGTTTTCGTGGAGATTCCTTAATGGAAACGCAGAATCAAGTTTCGAAACCGGAAACACAGTCGATGGAGAGATTCTGGTAACTATGGCTAAGACTACAGTGGGATACCCCATCTAACCCTAGATATTGATCATCTTGGTTATGCTCTCCCCCCAATTAGTTTTAGATTTGCCATAAGTGCTTCCCATCCTAAGGGGATTTGGCAAGGATCGAGATCAGTGCACCATCAAGCAAGGTGATCTGAAGTGGGGTGTACAAAAGTCCTTTAGAGGCGATCCCGAGGCAACTATTTCACATAAAAAAGCTACCTTTGTTTAAATGAATAGCAGATTTATTTTAATGGCAGTAAGGGAGGATCCTTATATTGCAGTAGGGGTTTATTTTATTGTTTTTAAAATTGTGCAAGAGGTTCATGTAAGTAGACTTGCAGGTATCATTGCTTAAAAATTTTGGATACAGGTACTCTGCTTGAGCTACATTGCCACCTTCCAATAAAACATGGGCCCCTAAAGTTGCCCTGTTAGAGGCCCAAGCCTAAAATTTATTCATGATAACTGGGACAGACCCGAGATTAAGGTCCAAGGAGCAGCCAGGCCCAATCTTGTACCTTTTACGATAATTAAAAAGCATATAAAAGTTTTAAAAAAAGTAGGAGAGGGTGAAATTTGTACGTCAATAATACTAACTAGCATATACAATATACACACACTAACCATCGAAGCCTAACTCATTAGTTATACATTATTTTCCTTTTAAAATCGACAATAGATAGGGAAATTTATCAAAAACTAGTCAAGAGATGAACCATTTAATATTTATCAACTTTTTTAAATTTCATTTCAAAAAGCCCATACTAAATTTTAGAAATTCCATCAAAGGAGACTAATCATGTGTTGAGATTTCTAAGAGGGTAACTTCCAATTTTCTCCCTCCTTCCAAAGTTAAGTCCAAAGAACTTGTTGATCCACATGCTTTACGTTTATATAATCTGAAAAAATTAGTATGCTCCAAGAGCAAAATGTACATTTGCTTCTTCACGCAAAACCCTATCTAAGAGTATTTTGATGACACCAAATTTTGGGGACGTAAACTACTCAACCTAGTTGTTCTAAGTAGGGTGAGGACCTTGTGAAAACCTTAAACTTTCCCTTAACCGAACCCAAGCCTGGGTAAAGGAGGTAGGTTGTATAAGAAAGGCAGCCAACGTAAAACTTTACGAAAACTTTTTTTTTCAAACCACTCAACATAGTGACCTAGTGGAAAAAAAATAAAAACTTAAAACATGCACCTTGGAACTTCCATGGAAAAAGTCGTTTTATATTTTAATAAAAACCGGGTAGGGCCCTCAATCCCCACTAATTTACCCAAAAAAAAATTTTATGGAAAAAGACATGCCTTAGGCTAGGATAAGTATAAGAAAATTTCCTTCCCACCTCGGTTGCTTTTTAATAAATTTTCCCTCAAGAACATGTGTTTTGAGCACCTAAAGTGTGTGTCAAAAATTTTTGTTTTTTAGGTTTGTCACTAGTTTGAGTAGGTCACTTCCCCAAGATTTTATATCCCTAAAATATTCCTAGTTGGGCTTCTGCCTGATGAAGCAAATGTACAAGCAAACAATTCTTGAGTTTATAGAAGTAAAAGCCATATATCCAGTGAACCAATGGTTTTCTTAAAAACAACTTTGGAAATAACTTTCAAAGGAGGAGCGAAACTGGAAATTGCCACTCCTAAAAATTCGAAGTGTCCTTTGGAGGGACTTTTTAAATTGAATAAGGCTCTTCTGAAATTAAATATAAATAATTTGTCAAAGTTCATTTCTTTGATGGTTTTGATAAATTTTCCATATCGATATAATGTCCCACGTGTATGTGTGTGTGTACATATATGTATTACAGTCACTCTCCCGCTCTTTTCTCTACATTAAACTAATCTCTCTCTCTCTCTCTC